TTCACTCCCCACTTCACTCCCTACTACACTCCCCACTTCACTCCCCACTACACTCCCCACTTCACTCTCAACTACACTTCCAACTACACTCCCAACTACACTCCCAACTACACTCCCCACTTCACTCTCAACTACACTCCCCACTTCACTCCCAACTACACTCCCCACTTCACTCCCAACTACACTCCCCACTTCACTCCCAACTACACTCCCCACTTCACTCTCAACTACACTCCCCACTTCACTCTCCACTACACTCCCCACTTCACTCTCAACTACACTCTCCACTTCACTCTCAACTACACTCCCCACTTCACTCCCAACTACTCCCCACTTCACTCTCAACTACACTCCCAACTACACTCCCAACTACACTCCCCACTTCACTCCCAACTACACTCCCCACTTCACTCTCAACTACACTCCCCACTTCACTCCCAACTACACTCCCCACTTCACTCTCAACTACACTCCCAACTACACTTCCAACTACACTCCCAACTACACTCCCCACTTCACTCTCAACTACACTCCCCACTTCACTCTCAACTACACTCCCCACTTCACTCCCAACTACACTCCCCACTTCACTCCCCACTTCACTCCCCACTACACTCCCAACTACACTCCCCACTTCACTCCCAACTACACTCCCCACTTCACTCCCTACTACACTCCCCACTTCACTCCCAACTACACTCCCCACTTCACTCCCAACTACACTCCCCACTTCACTCCCCACTTCACTCCCCACTTCACTCCCCACTACACTCCCCACTTCACTCCCCACTTCACTCCCCACTACACTCTCCACTTCACTCCCCACTTCACTCTCCACTACACTCCCCACTTCACTCTCCACTACACTCTAAACTACACTCCCAACTACACTCCCAACTACACTCCCCACTTCACTCCCAACTACACTCCTCACTTCACTCCCAACTACACTCCCCACTTCACTCCCAACTACACTCCCCACTTCACTCCCAACTACACTCCTCACTTCACTCCCAACTACACTCCCCACTTCACTCCCAACTACACTCCCAACTACACTCCCCACTTCACTCCCCACTTCACTCCCAACTACACTCCCCACTTCACTCCCAACTACACTCCCCACTTCACTCCCAACTACACTCCCCACTACACTCCCCACTTCACTCCCAACTACACTCCCCACTTCACTCCCAACTACACTCCCCACTTCACTCCCCACTACACTCCCCACTTCACTCTCCACTACACTCCCCACTACACTCTCCACTTCACTCTCCACTTCACTCCCCACTTCACTCTCCACTACACTCTCCACTTCACTCCCCACTACACTCTCCACTTCACTCTCCACTACACTCCCCACTACACTCTCCACTACACTCCCCACTACACTCCCCACTTCACTCTCCACTACACTCCCCACTTCACTCCCAACTACACTCCCCACTTCACTCCCAACTACACTCCCCACTTCACTCCCAACTACACTCCCCACTTCACTCTCAACTACACTCCCCACTTCACTCCCAACTACACTCCCCACTTCACTCTCAACTACACTCCCCACTTCACTCTCAACTACACTCCCCACTTCACTCCCAACTACACTCCCCACTTCACTCTCAACTACACTCCCAACTACACTCCCAACTACACTCCCCACTTCACTCCCAACTACACTCCCCACTTCACTCTCAACTACACTCCCCACTTCACTCCCAACTACACTCCCCACTTCACTCTCAACTACACTCCCAACTACACTCCCCACTACACTCCCCACTTCACTCCCAACTTCACTCCCCACTTCACTCCCAACTACACTCCCCACTTCACTCCCAACTACACTCCCCACTTCACTCCCAACTACACTCCCCACTTCACTCCCCACTTCACTCCCAACTACACTCCCAACTACACTCCCTACTTCACTCCCAACTACACTCCCCACTTCACTCCCTACTACACTCCCCACTTCACTCCCAACTACACTCCCCACTTCACTCCCAACTACACTCCCCACTTCACTCCCTACTTCACTCCCCACTTCACTCCCAACTACACTCCCCCTTCACTCCTCACTTCACTCTTAACTACACTCCCCACTTCACTTCCAACTACACTCCCCACTTCACTCCCAACTACACTCCAAACTACACTCCCAACTACACTCCCCACTTCACTCCCAACTACACTCCTCACTTCACTCCTAACTACACTCCCCACTTCACTCCCAACTACACTCCCCACTTCACTCCCAACTACACTCCTCACTTCACTCCCAACTACACTCCCCACTTCACTCCCAACTACACTCCCCACTTCACTCCCAACTACACTCCCCACTTCACTCCCCACTTCACTCCCAACTACACTCCCCACTTCACTCCCAACTACACTCCCCACTTCACTCCCAACTACACTCCCCACTACACTCCCCACTTCACTCCCAACTACACTCCCCACTTCACTCCCAACTACACTCCAAACTACACTCCCCACTTCACTCCTCACTTCACTCTTAACTACACTCCCCACTTCACTCCCAACTACACTCCCCACTTCACTTCCAACTACACTCCCAACTACACTCCCAACTACACTCCCCACTTCACTCCCAACTACACTCCCCACTTCACTCCCAACTACACTCCTCACTTCACTCCCAACTACACTCCCCACTTCACTCCCAACTACACTCCCCACTTCACTCCCCACTTCACTCCCAACTAAACTCCCCACTTCACTCCCCACTTCACTCCCAACTACACTCCCCACTTCACTCCCCACTACACTCCCAACTATACTCCCCACTTCACTCCCAACTACATTCCCCACTTCACTCCCAACTACACTCCCCACTTCACTCCCCACTTCACTTCCAACTACACTCCCCACTTCACTCCCAACTACACTCCCCACTTCACTCCCAACTACACTCCCCACTTCACTCCCAACTACACTCCCCACTTCACTCCCAACTACACTCCCCACTTCACTCCCAACTACACTCCCCACTTCACTCCCAACTACACTCCCCACTTCACTCCCAACTACACTCCCCACTTCACTCCCAACTACACTCCCCACTTCACTCCCAACTACACTCTCCACTTCACTCCCAACTACACTCCCCACTTAAAGTTCAAGTATGTTTATTGAGATAAGAAATAAATACATCTCAAACGGATAGAGTAGCTTAGGCAATTTCTACCTCCCCACTTCACTCCGCATTACACCACATCTGTTTGCCAAAGCTAATTTTTCTAGAGCTTCAATCATCTTGTCCAACTTTCTGAGGTATTCCATGATCTGTGTCCTGACCTCAGAATCCACAACGCGGCCCTGCACCTCAACACCATTAGGATACACTTTCTCGGTTTCGTTTCTTACTGCCACTACGCTACCTTTAATCATCGCCATGCCTTTCTCCCAAACGTTGGTCACAGAGGTTATCGTTGTCTCGCCACTGTTTCTTCCTTGTTCCTGCTGCACGATCTTGCCTTCCTTTGGAGCAATGTAAGGTTTTGAGGCTAGGTAATGACGTTAAGTTACAAGATACGAGCTAGATGGTGTTGAGATTGCGAAGTCGGATTATATATGAACATAAGAACAAAGGTAACTGCAGAAGGAATATTGGCCCATAGGAGGCAGCTCCCATTTATAACCACCCAATCCCACCCAATGTCCAACTCACGGTTGAAACAATTGAGAAACCCCCACTCCTACCACGTTACGCGGTAATTGGTTCCACAAATCAACAACCCTGTTACCGAACCAGTATTTACCCAAGTCTTTCCTAAATCTAAACTTATCTAATTTATACCCATTGTTTCGTGTTCTGTCTTGTGTTGATACTTTTAATACCCTATTAATATCCCCTTTGTTATGTCCATTCATCCACTTGTAAACCTCTATCATGTCACCCCTAACTCTTCGCCTTTCCAGTGAATGTAATTTAAGCTTTGTTAATCTTTCTTCAAATGACAGGTTTCTAATTTGGGGAATCAACTTTGCCATCCTACGCTGGACACGTTCAAGTGAATTTATATCCATTCTTTTGGTACGGCGACCAAAACTGAACTGCATAATCTAAATGGGGCTTAACCAGAGCAAGATATAGCTGAACAACAACACCAGGTGTCTTGTTACTAATGCATCGATTAATAAAACCCAGTGTTAACTATAGCTACAAATCTACAGGAGCCGTAATGAGGGTTCGAACCTACGCGCTGGGTGTTCCCAGACACGCTCTAGTCAACTGTACCACAACATAGCACCATGGGTACCATGGTACGATAACGATTTACCATGTTGTGGTACAGTTGACATGAGCGCGTTTGGGATCACCCAGCGTATAGGTTCGAACCCTCATCAAGGCTCCTGTGGATTTGTTCAATAATATATCACGTTAATATGATTTCTCCGTGTGAAAATTTTAACTTTTGTGTAAATTATTCTCACTTCAGGAGTAACCAAAACAATATTCTTAAATCCGTCAGTCGTTAAATGTTCCACTGCCTCTTCTGCCCCAAGCGTTATGTAGGGCCGGCGAACATAAGGACAAAGGTAACTGCAGAAGGCCTATTGGCCCATACGAGGCAACTCCTATTTATAACCACTCAATCCCACTCATATACATGTCCAACCCATGCTTGAAACAATCGAGGGACCCCACCTCCACTACGTTTCGTGGTAATTGGTTCCACAAATCAACAACCCTGTTATCGAACCAGTTACGGAAACAGGGAGTTATTATAAATGGGGTTAAGTGAACACCCCTCCTTAAATAATGGTTCATATTCACCATCTTCTTTGGCCAATTGAACGGTCCACTCCAGCTTCTACTGAACAGTTAGTGGACATGTCGAGGGAAATAACAGCCGCATCCTTCCATTAATCTGTGTCTCTGGCTGTATGTGGTCCTGTTGAGCCCTTCCGGTGAGGTTTTCCAGTGTAGTGAAGGAGCGAGAGTGTAACGCTGCTCTCTGTTGCAGGTCGATGACCAACGTGTTGATGGCGGGAACCAAGGTGAGTTTCGCCCTCCGTATACATGCACAGGTAACGTGGCGTTGATGACATCACTGTACACGTCACACAGGTAACGTGGCGTTGATGACCCTCACTGTACACGTCACACAGGTAACGTGGCGTTGATGACCCTCACTGTACACGTCACACAGGTAACGTGGCGTTGATGACCTCACTGTACACGTCACACAGGTAACGTGGCGTTGATGACCCTCACTGTACACGTCACACAGGTAACGTGGCGTTGATGACCCTCACTGTACACGTCACACAGGTAACGTGGCGTTGATGACCCTCACTGTACACGTCACACAGGTAACGTGGCGTTGATGACCCTCACTGTACACGTCACACAGGTAACGTGGCGTTGATGACCTCACTGTACACGTCACACAGGTAACGTGGCGTTGATGACATCACTGTACACGTCACACAGGTAACGTGGCGTTGATGACCTCACTGTACACGTCACACAGGTAACGTGGCGTTGATGACATCACTGTACACGTCACACAGGTAACGTGGCGTTGATGACCATCACTGTACACGTCACACAGGTAACGTGACGTTGATGACCCTCACTGTACACGTCACACAGGTAACGTGACGTTGATGACCCTCATTGTACACGTCACACAGGTAACGTGACGTTGATGACCCTCACTGTATCCACCTATTCGTCAATCAACCGTCCACCCGGATTGATTTTGTGATCCAGATGGACTGTGTTTTGCTGCTCTCCTTAGCGCCTTGTTGTACATGGCCTGTGGTTTTTGCATGTTAGTTTTCTTTAACTCATGTAGTGGTACTGAAGGATATTCTAGATGCGGCCGGACTAGAGCCTTGTGTAAGTGTAACTGGAGACCTTGAGGTTACCTTCAGAGGGTTTCGGGGCTTAGCGTCTCCGTGGCCCGGTCCTCGACCAGGCCTCCTTGTTGCTGGACTGGTCAACCAGTCGTTTTGTATTGAGGCTCCGGAATCTCCTCAGTTTTCCTAGGGCTGTTTTTGGTATGTTTATTGTCATTTACGTGATTTTTTTACCTGTTCTATTGATCATGAGTCCCAGCATTGTGCCTACATCCGCATATTGGATCGCGCGGTTGTCAAGGGTAGTGGGATCCGGGGTTCTTTTTGTAATGTTTAATATCTGGAACTTTTATTTATTTGCACTTGTTTTCCATTGCTTTTCAAACTTGCTTATGAATTCAATTGCTGCCTTGGTCTTGTTGGCTAGTAGCGGCTTTGATGGTCCTGGTTGGCATATTATTTGGGTGACATCGTCAGCGTATGTGATGAATTCTCCATGTTGGGGTTCGAGTAGGTCAGCTGTATATATGTTGAAAAGAGTGGGTGAAAGGCAGCTTCCTTGTGATTCTCCACTTTTCAGTTCAATTATGTCACCTAAATAGATGCCGATATTAAGCCTAGCTGTCCTTTTGTCAATAAAGGTGCAGAGCGTGGAAGTGAATCGCTGTGGAAGCCCTAGCTCTGATGTCTTGTTGTTTAGGCCTGTATGCTAGACTTTGTCGAAAGCTTTCGAGGTATCTTTGAGCACTATATCACATTTATCTTTTTTTTCGACATTGCCGTAGCTATGTGCTGGTAGATCAGGGCTACAACTGGGTGTATTCAACGTTGAGTTCTGCAGAACCAACAAATCATCAATGAAGATTACTTTCACCACAATAGCTGCGGCCACCCAGGCTGCCACATAAGGGTTCTACTGCTTTAGCTTACAAATACAACACCACCGAGCCCCTCTGTGGTTTTTAAACCCATGTTGCCTGGTGTTATACTTCTCTTTCTCTTCCATGTACTTCACAAGTCTCTAATTATTTTTCGAATATTTTATCTGATACTTCGAGGAGGGAAACTAATATGCAATTTTCGGTTTGGGTTGGGGATTAATGATTGTGGTATTTTTGAAGTATATGGGGGATGATGCGAGATGCAAGAGCTGCATTTTGTATACGTGTGTATTGTTGGATTACAGTCACTGGTAGGTTGGTTAATACCATTTTATTTATTCTGCTATTGCCCAGCTCCTTGTTCTTGAAACCTCTAATTGTTTTATGGACCTCTGCAATGATGATGTGTTTCATAATGTGGCATTCATTGTAAATGTTGTTAGGGTCTATTATTTGCATCGGGAGTAATGTTGCAGCCCCCTGCAGCCGAGTTGTAATTTCCCTTTCATTGATGTGTTGCTTTTTGATCTGTTTGAGGCATTTACCCAATTTGCTTCTCTGATTTTCTTTGCTTTCTCTCTATCCTCCTTTGACATGTTTTGACTAAGGTATACCATATGGTAAGTCTCGCAGGCCATCAATTTTGACTTCAGCCAGCATATATTTCATTGGAACATTATTCTGGAAAGTTATTTTCACTGGTCGATTCCTCCCTATATGGAACCTACCAAGCCTAAAATAATGCTCAATTTCCTTGGTTGCCTCTTTAGCCTGTATTCTCGTGAGAATTACTGGTATCTCTTTCTGGCACCTTTTCTTCTCCTTTGCCATATGTTTCTGACTCTGGCACACTGTAGATTATTACTGATTTCTCCCCCTCCAGCTTCTGTTTCTGTGATGGGGTGTAGGTAGCAGTAAGTGTCTACAGGAGAGTGACGACTAACTCTTTATGCCCCGCCTACTGGTATTGTACCTCTTCTATTTCAATCTAATTATTCTGACTTTCAGATTGTTAGTCGAATTGTAACTTAAAGTTGTGTATAGAGGTGGCTTCCACAACTTCTTTTAGAGCATATTCCACTTGTTAACTGCCTGTACAGATTACGAGTACTTTGATACTCGTTACCTTGAAATTGCCTTTATCTACAAATCATTCTCTCGCCTTGGTTACCCTTTGCATTTCATCAACTGTGCCTACTCTCAAGCTAAACGAAATTTCTTTCATCCTAAACCTGCTTCCAACACTAGTAGTACTGTATTATGCCTTCCCTTCATATCTGAACTCAAAACCTTTACCAATACCTTTCGTCCTCTCGACATTAAACTCGCCTTTCGACAAACTAACACACTTCGTAGCAATCTAGTTCACACTGCTCCTCCTGCTTCTAATGCTGCTGGTGTCTACTTTATTTCCTGTTCGTCTTGTCCTCTCCAATACTTTGGCGAAACTGGCAGTACACTTAATGACAGACTTAAAGAACACAAGAGAAGTGTTAAGTCTGCAGACACTAACAATGCTCTCTTCTGCCATGTGAGGGATTCTAATCATCCCATTGATTGGTCTTCCTCCAAAATAATCTTTCTTGCCTATTGATGTGTGTATTTGTGTAGGTGATTGAATATGTATTTGTATGTATGAGTATGAGTACATGTATATATAACATTAATAATTGTGTAACTAGTGTCAAAAAATGTTATTCTTATTGAATTGTAACTTACCTTATCTCTTAAATGTAACATATGTCAGTTCAGTTCATGCTGTTGATGATCTCAATTAGTCTAAAGTCTTAGTTTTTAAAGTTTTCTTGCTTGCCCAAAACGCTGTGCGTATTAGTGCTTTAGGCATATTATATACTTGTTCTTTCCTGAAATCCAACATTCTACTTAACTCCCAACACCACCTCTACTCCCAACACCACCTCTACTCCCAACACCACCTCTACTCCCAACACCACCTCTACTCCCAACACCAACACCCCGTGGGAAGTAGTGGAATTTATATCTAATCTTTGAGCTGTAGTTGCTCCCATACCCCAGCCCGTGAGTGATAGTGGACCCCCATTTCCATCCTGTGGAAGGGAGTGGACCCAATATACTCACACATCCTGTTGGTGATAGTGGACCCCATGCCCCATTCTGTTTGCGGTAGTGGACCCAATACATAAGAACATAAGAACAAAGGTAACTGCAGAAGGCCTATTGGCCCATACGAGGCAGCTCCTATTCTATAACCACCCAATCCCACTCATATACTTGTCCAACCCGCGCTTGAAACAATCGAGGGACCCCACCTCCACCACGTTACGCGGCAATTGGTTCCACAAATCTACAACCCTGTTACTGAACCAGTATTTACCCAAGTCTTTCCTAAATCTAAACTTATCCAATTTATACCCATTGTTTCGTGTTCTGTCCTGTGTTGATACTTTTAATACCCTATTAATATCCCCCTTGTTATGTCCATTCACCCACTTGTAAACCTCTATCATGTCGCCCCTAACTCTTCGCCTTTCCAGTGAATGCAACTTAAGCTTTGTTAATCTTTCTTCATATGAAAGATTTCTAATTTGGGGAATTAACTTAGTCATCCTACGCTGGACACGTTCAAGTGAATTTATATCCATTCTATAATATGGCGACCAAAACTGAACTGCATAATCTAAATGGGGCCTAACTAGAGCAAGATATAGCTTGAGAACCACACCAGGTGTCTTGTTACTAACGCTGCGATTAATAAATCCAAGTGTCCGATTTGCCTTATTACGAACATTTATGCATTGATCCTTTTGTTTTAAATTCTTACTAATCATAACTCCCAGATCCCTTTCGCAATCCGACTTCGCAATCACAACACCATCTAGCTCGTATCTTGTAACTCTATCATCATTACCTAACCTCAGAACTTTACATTTATCAGCATTAAACTGCATCTGCCAATCCTTTGACCATTTCAAAACCCTATCTAGATCAACTTGAAGTGATAGTGAGTCCTCCTCCGAATTAATTTCCCTACCGATTTTCGTATCATCGGCAAATTTGCAAATGTTGCTACTCAAACCTGAATCTAAATCATTTATATATATTATAAACAACAGAGGTCCCAGGACAGAGCCTTGAGGCACTCCACTTACAACATTTTCCCACTCTGACTTGATTCCATTTATACTAACTCTCTGTTTCCTTTGGTATAGCCATGCCCTAATCCAGCTTAATATAGCACCCCCAATACCATGAGACTCTATCTTTTTAATCAGTCTTTCATGTGGCACTGTATCAAAAGCTTTGCTAAAGTCAAGGTATACAACATCGCAA